CCCAAACCCCCTCCCCCCCAGCCCCCCGCAAAGTTTCAAGAGGATTTTTGCCATTGACTTCAATGGCCCCATTGGTTACAATGGACCCGAATTTTTCGGGATTCCCGAAAATTTTCAGATATCTATGCTTTACCGGTATAGATATTCGGGTTTTTTCGGGTTTCCCGAAAAAAACCCAAACCCCCTCCCCCCCAGCCCCCCGCAAAGTTTCAAGAGGATTTTTGCCATTGACTTCAATGGCCCCATTGGTTACAATGGACCCGAATTTTTCGGGATTCCCGAAAATTTTCAGATATCTATGCTTTACCGGTATAGATATTCGGGTTTTTTCGGGTTTCCCGAAAAAATTCGGGTCCAATAAACCCGAATCCGAATTTTACCGAATTTTTTTTTTTTGCACATCCCTACTCATCTCTGATTAAACTATCAGTCTGTACTCAAGGCCAGAAAACTGTTTTGGAATATTAAATTCATATATGGTACAAACTCTTTTTGTTGCAGGACCAGACTTGTATATGGGATCTACCTTGCCATTACCTGAGACTTTCAGGATGTCCTGTTTAATGCTGATATCATGCTTGTTGATTGTTGTTTTAAATGTCTAGATCTTTGGATGCTCTTAAAACTAGCTTTGTTCTCCCAGTGTTCTGGAATAGAGCCTATTAGATGCAAGATATTCACAGGTGAATTTTTCCCTGCCTTCCTTCTCCCCCAGCAGTTCTAAGCTCCCTGAAATGCTGGGAACCATGAGAGCTTTGGGGGGCATGGCAGAGCTGCAGTGGGGTGCGGGGAGGCATTAAGTTGTAAATGATTTATAATGTAGTTGTTAAATTGTAAGTACAACACAGCTGCTTGTCAGCTTGGGAAAGATTATTGAACAGGTAGTGGCACAGCAATCCCAGAAATACTTGGATGAGACATCTGGCCTTGGTCTTTTTATGCCTTGGTTTGAGACAGAGACGGCTTTAATAGGACTTGGGGACAAAGAGAATGTACCTCTATTGCTGTTGCTAGATTTGTCAGCAGCCTTTGATACTGTGGACCATGTGATACTGCTGAGGTGCCTAGAAGGTGAGGTGGATCTGGGCTCAGCGGTGTTGAGATGGCTCCAATCTATACTCACAAAAGGCTGAAGTGGAACGTGCTGAATCATACCTTTGGAAGCTGATAGGGAGCACAACAAGGCTCTGTTACTTCATGGGCTTAATATCTGTAAGGCCCCTGATTGAGGTCATCCACAGTTTTAAAGTAGGTTGTCATCAATATGCCAATGACATCTGAATGTATATTACTCTGAGTAAGCCACCTGTTGCTGTTGTCTCTGTCTTGGCCCAGTGCTCAGTGTGGTGTTCAACTGAAATCGATTCAAGATAAAACAGAGCTGATGATGGCTGGACGAGTCAGTGCTTCAAATGAGATTGTTCTCCCTACTGTCAGTGGGGTGCAGCTTTTGGGGAAAGACTTCATTAAAAGCTTGGGAGTCTTGCTGGATCCTAGTTTCTTGTTGGAGAAAGAGGTGCTTTTTCCAGCTACTAATTAGGAAGCTAATTTGCAGATGTCTAATCTGGCCATGTTGATCCCATGCATCAGTAACCTCAAGGCTAGGTTTTTGGATTTTTTGTAATGCTCTGTACATGAAGCTGTCCTTGAAGATGATGTGGAAGCTGCAGCTGTTGTGAAATGCAGCAGCTTATCTATTACTTGGGGCTAACCAACAGGACCCTTTCACTTCTATTCTGAGGTCCCTTCACTGCCTGCTGATTAATTTCTAGTTCCAGTTCAAGGTGTTGACCTGGGGCCTACATATTTGAAGGCCTGCCTCTCCCTGCATATTTCCATGTTGCACTTCTGCTCTTCGCACCGTGGTCTATTATTAGTTCCTCCATTTTCTAAGGCGTGTTCTGCTATGGTCCAGGCTCAGGCTTTTTCTGTGGCTTACCCGCCCAGGTTTCTGGCAAGGAAGCAAAACAGCTGTTTCCAAGGACTTTTGAAGCTGTCTGAATCTAGACAAAGGAGGGATACCCTGCTGAGCGGGACAGGTTTTAGTTTTGTTATTAATGCATTTTAATGTTTTAGTAAATTGTTTAATATTTTTATATTGTTACCTGCCTTGGGTCCTGGGGTGCCTGGTACAAAGGTGGGTATATAAGTATTTTTAATAAATTGCCACAAGGTAGAGAAAAGAAACCTGATTGTCTTTTTATTTTTATTTTTACAGGCTGGAGTGAAGGGAAAACTAGGCAGATTGCTGGGAATATTTGAGGTGAGCTTTCCTTAAAAAGATATATACTTGGAAATTTAAGTACTCTGAAGTTTTAAGGTTCTCTTTTCTATGTGCAAGAAAGCCAGTTTGAGACAGGAATATTGTCACATTAATGTAAAAATAATATATAAATATGAGATAGGGATAGGTGTATGCAGTTCTGTGATTGCTAATGACATACACATTGCTAGACACAGTTGTGCCCTGTCGTTGTGATGGACTGCACTTTTCCCCCTTCATTTACAGTTTATTAATTTTTATAGTGAACAATAATACAAAATATTAATTTTCCCAACAATCTATTATATTATTCACCCCCTTTATTCATAGAAAGTGTTCTCCGGCTCATCCACTAACTCCTATTATACCTAATTACAAAACAAGAATTACTTCCTATTCTGACTCCTATTATCGTGTACCACCCGTTACATGTATTTCAATTCAGTTTCCTAAATTATTCTTCCATACTCATATTAGTTACAATACATATATTAACATAACTTTGGACACTCTTCAGTTAACTATTTACTATTAGATACTTCCAATTTATTCTTCAGAAAGGCCAACTTCACCTAAAAAAGAAAACCAAATGGAGGGCTGCCTCTCATTCCTAGGACCAAAAACTCGACAGAAAGGAACTTAGCCTTTCCTCCTCCTGTGAGAGGACTTGCCCACTCTTTAAAGTTAAAACAACTTAATTGCCTTCCAACCCCTTTATACTGTAAACCTTATCACTTATCTGTTATATACTGTTTGAATAAAAGGCTTTGTTTAATTATAAGCTAAATTACAAATCATAGTTGCTTTCCATATTACATATTACTGTTTGATTAAATAAATGAGTTGAGTTGCTTAGAATTGCTCCTTCAATTGAATCTTAGAGGCTAAACATTTATTACGGCTTTACACACACAGCCAAAAGCTTTTTTCCAGATGACTCGTCGAAGACTGTAAAATGTCTCTTTGTGAGAGGACTGCACTTTTTAAAAGCTTAGAAGTGCTGTACAAACAGATGAAGGACTGTGAACGGTTAATTCTTCACAGAGACAGAGAGCCTTGAGTGACATACTGCTCCAAGGAGTCTGATTGGGTAGCAAACAGAGAAAGACTTCTGAACTGGATGCTGAGGAGAATTCAGTCTGATTTCAGCCCCAGTTGAAAAAAGTCAAGAACTGACAGTTTCAGAATTCAGCCCTAACTGAGAGCAGTTCACAGACAGGAGAACGGGGGGAAAGTTGGCAAGGAAGTTTGGGAAGTAGGCGAAGACTCCCATTCATGCCAAAGAAAGGGGAAAGATCTTCTAGTGGGAGGAGAATTTTGCTACCCAGTCCAACAGGGAGTTAGCTCTGAAGAGTGCAGAGGTCCCTGGCCTGGTGTGGTTACAAATTGCCTTTAGAGACCTTAAGAGTCAGTTAAAAACTCAAGACAAGTACTGGTGTTTCAAGAGAAGGGGTTTGGGTCCTGGAAAAAGTGTACCAGCCTTCTGGAAAGCAAAAGAGTTAGAGAATACTCAAAGAAAGTATACTGAAGTGTTTGGGGAAAACACTGGAACAAAAGCCTCTCAACCAGTGTTCCCTCTAAGCTGAGTTAGTGTGAGCTAGCTCACAGTCTTTTAGCCTCCGGCTCACACGTTTTTGTCTTCGCTCAGGAAGGAGGGGCTCCAGAGCAAACTAATTTATGCAGTAGCCCAAATCACCTGCTCACAACTTTAATGCCAGGAGCTCACAAAGTAGAATTTTTGCTCACAGGACTCCATAGCTTAGAGGGAACATTGCTCTCAACATAAAGATTTAAGTCACTGTGAAAAGCTTAAGAAACTCATTAGCCTTAAACATAAGAACTAAAGTCTGTGCATGTACTGATTTTACCTTAGAAATTTTCAACCCCTGATTTCACCTGACCTTTCCCCTCTACGTTCAATAAAATATTTTGTTAATTTTGATTTTCAAAATGTCTCAAGTGCCATTTTCAGTGGTTTAAATTAAAGGGTGATTCCTGACCCTTCTCTCAGGCTCCTGGGCTGAGCCAGCAGTAAAATACCATACTGAGATGGGGTGAGACAGCCAGACAGGGTGGGGCAGAAGAAAACAGATAACTCGGGCTGCTCAGTCAGAAAGGGAAAGAAAAATGGAGGGAAAATCTTGCCTCTGTGGGAGGAAAGTTGACAGGGCAGTCATAGTTGTCTTTAAACAAAACAAGTAGTTTACCATAATATATATAGGTTGTGAGAGGGATAGGTGTATGCAGTTCTCCAGAAAACACTGAAGGTCTGCATTGTAGAGTAAGAACTTAATATGTGAATGCAGGAGACCAGCTTTTTCACTTGTCAGAAAGGGAGAATGGGGTCCCCACCAAGACAGCTATGCTGGTGATTATGGGACCTACATGGACAAGAGTTGGGGGTTGTAGTAAGAAGCAGAATTATGCAGGATTGAGTAATAGAGCTGGCTAGATCCAACCCTGTTTGTACCCTGTACAAATGATTGATTTTATGAAATTCATTCAAATTGTAATTCCTACTGAACCATAATTTCCCATGAAAGCAGTAAGCATGACTCCCAAGGAAATGTGCTTCAGACTGGAGTGTTCATGCCTTTATTGGTTTTCAGTCAATGGACAAAGTATGTTTGTGGTCTGTGATTGCTAATGACGTACACATTGCTAGACACAGTTGTGCCCTATTGTCTTTAAACAAAATGAGTAGTTTACTATAATCTTAGGAGACATAAAAGTTATTTCTGTATACATATGGACAGCACTGCACTTAAGGTTGGTTCATTGGTCATGCAAGTGTAATTAAAATGTGTGTGTTTTTCCTTTTTCTCCGTATTGAAGCAGAATCAAGACCGGAAGCATAGAACTTATGTTTATGTTCTTACAGTGACTGAAATCCTGGAAGACTGGGAAGATTCAGTTAATATAGGCAAGACTTTTTTCCTCATGTGCTTATTTATAATGCTGTTTGTAGGAACAGCTCTATTTTTAGCAAATCTCTCGTGTAACTGGTATCAAACATGCAATATCCTGCTGCTAAAATTGTATAGACTTAACATTTTCCCAGACATAACTGAGAATAACTAAAACCAGATTATTTTAACACTAATACAGTTCGCTTGAAAGCACTGAAAAGTGGTTTGTGGAAAGAGATCATTTTTATATTTAATTTGTTCACTGCCTTCTGAATGTCTCCATCTTTGAAGACACTCTAAATTGCAAATTTGTTGAAAAAATTTGGTCTGAATTTTTCCTGGGAATCACCTTCCATTTTCCATCTCTTTCCTGCCTTCCCCTGGGGAATTTTAGCAGGAATAACGGTACAAGAAGATAAAATCTGGGTCTGGGTATAAACCCACCCATGCCAGAAACTGAAGGAAGAGAATAAAGTGATAGGAAACAGGATGGTTTACTTGGAAGTTTATTTGAAAAAGAAGGACAAATTGAGGTGATCACAGAGATAATGTAGAGAAGTAGGGTGGCAGGTTTTAAACAGTACATTCCAGGGAAAGATAGTCTTTTGAGGCAGGCTTTCTACTTTTAATGTTGTTGTTAAACGTTACAGTTACCCCACAGAACACCCAGTTGTAATTCCATCACTCTTTCAGTTCTAGGTTCCTTGTCCTTTCTCCCACCAGACCTCCAGCTCCCAATTGTCAAAACCTCAATGGACTGATGCTCCCCAGCCCAAAACTCCTCCTGGGTTGTTTAGAGCACCATTCTGATTGGTTCCTGTGCTGGAATAATTTATAACTGTTCTACCTGCTGTATTTTGAGTAAAGTACTGCATTGATATTCAGAAAGGACATATTAATGAACCAATAATTTTAAGAGGTGAAGCAGTAGACCAAGCAGTAAATAAGGACATCTAACTTGTTCCTGTGCAAAGGGGCATATGGATAAGTTGATTAGCATATTTATTTGTGAATAATTAACATACTGCATGAAAAGTAGACACCAGTTTGTCACTGATAGTCTGTCACTGAACCATTCATTGAACTGTAGAAACTAGATGTTCAAGATTCAGCACCTCAGACCAGCTCAGGGATTTCTGGAACCCAGCTGAGGATCATGGCTGCCTTTAATGTCCTTGCTTTTCATGATTTTGCTTGCTACATTTGGCCCACCTCTGCAGTGTTAGATACTGTAGTGTGTACAAAGAATAACTTTAGGAATTGCAGTAAATACTGTTTATCAAATTTCAGTGTGCACACTAGTCATCCTTTGAAACTTATTTTGTGTATTCTTTCCATAGGCAGGAAAAGAGAGTGGTTTAAAGTTGAGGATGCTATCAAGGTCCTTCAGTGTCACAAGCCTGTCCATGCAGAGTACTTGGAAAAACTGAAATTAGGGTGTTCACCAACCAATGGAAATTCTGTGGTCTCTTCCCATCCTGGTAACAGTTCTCTTTATGTCACTTCTACACAGACTTCTGGGCTGCCCTCTACTGTAAGATAAAATCTGAATTACTTTCTTGTATGCCATCACAAGGAGAAATGTCTTTTGGTGGTAATGTGCTATGTGTATACTCATCAAAACCCTGAGTATGAATACTTTGTATGTTCAGGCCTATTTTTGTTTTTAGCAATTTATAATATTTAATAAGCCAAAGCCATACAGGGAATTAAAGATGCCTTAAATGGCCCTTTAAAGTAAAATACAGTTAAAATATAGTTATCTTAAATACCTGGTAAAAATAAGAGTGAACTTGTAATTTGGCTTTTGAGTATAGCTTAATTTTTCTTCCTTGTAAATTTCCTGAAAATCAAACCATTAGTTTGGGGAAACTTTTTAGTATTGTCATTATTATTTCCCTACTTTAACATAGTTAGCTGGAGGAGTAAAGAGGCAGTGGAAATCAACAGCAAGTGCCTTCTTCTATTTCAGGAAGCTTCCTCCTCCCTAGTATTTCACATGAAGAGCCTAACCAGAGCAGTGCCAGGTGGACTTGTCTTTGCCAAAGACTTCATACTGCTCTTGCTGACAACATTTAGCCAAACAGCCAGATTGTTGAGGTGCATACACACCAACCCCTGTTAGAATCTGCTTGTCCTCCTCTTGCTTAAGTCAGTGTTAGCTTTCTTGGCCATTCCAATAGCAGGCGTTCCATCCCTGCTTTCTTTGAAATTGTGTGAATTGGATCAGTGTTGGGAAGATAACTGCTTGAGCATTAAGAAAAGGCAGAGAGTACACACTTAAATGATTCCTGGCCCTATTTTAATCTCTGCTCATAAAAACAGGGACATGCAGATTCTATAAACTTAAGTCTCTGAAACCATTTCCACTAAACTTCCCTGTTTCTCTAAAGTCAGAACTGTGGCTGAGGTAAAGAAACTACCTCTATCATGAAGACTGTCTCTTCTCATTGTTTCTATGTAAGATAAACCCACTGTAAATAATCCAACTGGTGTAAAGTGAAAAGTAAATGTAATGTAAATACTGTGTTGCGCACAAAACTAGGTTATCACCTAGGGCTCTAGTGTCTTAGCACCTACATAACAGGCAGAAAGTTAAAACAGCCTAGTTTTGTTTTTTTCATATCACTGTTATCGTCTAAGGGATTTCTGCTGAAAACAGTTGTTAAAGGCACAGAAGCCCTTTTGGAGCTGAAGGTGGCAACCCTACACAACCTTCAACATTGTTTAAAATGCTGCTATAAATTAATCCATGTGCTGTTACAATTTTTAAGGGAAATAATGGTGTCATTAGCTTTCCCTCTAGAAAAACTGGGAATATAAATATTGTGCCATATATAAATGCATTTGAACAAGGAACATCAGTCATGAGTATTACTTTTAAGAGCCAAAATTCAAAGTAGACTTGAATATCTGCCACAGAATAGAACTGCTGGAACAGCAGGCCATTTTAGGCTGCTGTGCTTAAAGGGCGTTCTCCATATTCTGTTTCATGTAAATTAAAAGAATGCTAATAGCACCCGTCAATGTAAAATCTCACACTAATCAGTTTGGGGAAATTTCTGATTCCTAAAAAGTATACATTTTTCCTGAAATGAGAACTTCAGCATTCTCAGTTGGCACTTTGGTACCAGATTCCCACGTATTAGTCGTTTATCTCTCAACACTTTGAAACTGATCACATGGAAACAAAATGAGAAATGCCATTGGTTCATTACATTAAAGCAAATTGATTGGATTTATGGTTCCCACAGCTGCTTTCATCTCTAGTTTACTTTTGAAATTTAAACAAGCCAATCTTGTAGGAGCTGCATATTGGTAATGCATGATTATTTTGGTTTCTAACACTATGTATTGTGTAAAAATGTACAGCTGTCAATGCTAACCAAATCAGAGGTGATTGCTTATAAATATTCCAACCTGCTGTGTCACATATGGTAAATATTTTGGTGTACAGACCTTTTCAGTCTATGCAACTTACGATGAAGACCCTTACTAAAACTGACTTGCAAAATCTGTCTTGCAACATGATAACACTGGAATGACAAAGATCCACTAAGCTTTTAGCTACCTTTGTTACACTTAATTAATAGACATTGCCAAAACCAGTCATTTAGAGGAATAGGCTGTGCAACATGCTTGTCAAAGATGACAGCCATGATGTTTTCTGCCAAAATCATAATTATATAGTTCCAATGAAAGGATCAGATTTGACAAATAAAATGGAGGGATTTGAAAGTAGATTGTGAGGGGTTTTTTGTGGCACTAGGAACCTGGACTTGTTTCTTCTAAGTGGCCTTTGAATCTGTGCCTGGCTTTACCTGCATAGGGATAAGGATTTATTTGGATCATATGCCACACACTAATCCATGTTTTAGATTTAGTAAGTCTTGGATTGTGAGGTCATTACCAGACAAATATAGACTCAGTATAGTAGAAGCATGTTACCGTGAACAGTTGAACTTGGGAACATGCCACTAAACTACTGCAAGAGTATTTATGTAAGTGATAGATGCTATTAAAAGTGAAACAGTCATCCTGGAGGGCAGCTGAAAACTAAACAGATTATTGTTAATATGTTGGAAATAATTCCTCAACATGCTTCTGAGAAGTAAAAAAATTGAAGGAAAAACTACCATTTAAGTTGTAAACATTTTGAACTGTGTGCATGGCTTTCTTTTAAAGACTGGTGTAAGAATTTTGACTTTTTATATCTGAAATGAACTTCCAAAATAAAAATTGAAACAACCTATAGCTGTGGGTGTACTTCATATAGCTCATCTTCCTGAATCTAGGTGATCTGGAAGTGATTCTTCATTTTCTACTTTCACCCATTAATGGTTTTTAATGTCTGAGCACAAGTACTTGATGCCCCTTTTCCATGCAATGTTATAAAGCAATGATCCCAGGACACTAGTTTAAGAAGTTCCTGGGAAGCTTAGTAAAAGCCGTGGTGGTGCTTATTTCGCCTTTCTGTCATCTAGGCAATTTTGCCTACTTATTTCCTAGGTCGCAGATAGGAACCTAGGATGCAACTTTATTTTTAAGCCTGTAAACAGGAATTATTATTTATTTCATTTCTATACAACCTGTAGCTGAAGCTCTCTGGGCAGTTTACAAGAAGTATAAAAACAATAAAATACAATAGATAAAGCATTAAGAATTCAATGTATTTAAGATAACATGAAAAACATTAAAAACTATAGACCAGACCGAAAAGACCTAATCCAAAGTGAAAGGAAAGTACCTGGTTAATCGTATCAGGTCTGTGCATGGCCAAGGAGGTCTGTAAAGGCGTCCACAAAGAGGGTTGTCTTAACCTGGTGTGGGAAAGATGGCAAATTTGGCGCCAGGTGGGCCGCAGGAGGGAGGTTGTTCCAAAGATGGGGGACAGCCACCAAAAAGGCCCTCCCCTTAGTTGCCACCAATGTTCCCTCTAAGCTATGAAGTCTTGTGAGCAAAAATTCTACTTTGTGAGCTGCCGCCATTAAAGTTGTGAGCAAGCGATTTGGCTACCACATACATTAGTTTTCTCTGGAGCCATCCTTCCTGAGCCAAGACAAAAATGGGTGAGCTGGAGGCTAAAAAACTGTGAGCTAGCTCACACTAACTCAGAGGGAACACTGGTTGCCACCCTCCAAGCCTCTCAAGGGGTTGGCACCCAGAGGAAGGCCCCAAAGGGATCTGTATTTTTGGCCACTGTGTGACAGAGTGTTGGACTGGATGGTCCATTGGCCTGATCCAACATTGGCTTCTCTTATGTTCTTATGTTGAGTGTAGTGTCTCAGTAGATTGGGGTTGGGAGAGGTGGTCCGATAGACATTGTGGTCTCAAGCCGGGTAGGGCTTTATAGGTTAAGACCAGCACCTTGAATTGGGACCAGAAGCGTACAGCTAGCCAATGCAGGTGGGCCAGAACTGGTCTTATGGATTCAGACCTCTGGGTCCCAGTTATTAATCTAGCTGACGCATTCTGCACCAGCTGCAGTTTCTGAACCATCTTTAAGGGCAGTCCCATGTAGAGTGTGTTGCTGTAATCTAATTTGGGGAATACCAGAGCATAAATTACTGAAGCCAGGCTATCCTTGTCCAGATAGGGGTGCAACTGGGTCACCAGCCAAAGCTGGTAGAAAGCCCTCTGAACCACCGATGCCACCTGAGCTTCAAGTGACAGAGGTGGATCAAGGAGTACCCCCAAGCTGCGAACCTGCTCCTTCAGGGGGAGGGCAGCCCTGTCTAGAACAGGTTGAACACCTCCCATCCAATCAAAGGAATCACTCACCAACAGCATCTCAGTCTTGTCTGGACTGAGTTTCAACTTGTTAGCCCTCATCCAGTCCATTATTGTAGCCAGACACCTGTTTAGCACATCCACAGGCTTACCTGCTGACAATGAAAAGGAGAAATAAAGCTGTATGTCATCAGCATACTGATGGCAACACACTCAAACTCTGGATGACCCTACTCAGCGGTTTTTTGTAGATGTTGAATAGCATGGGGGACAGAGCAAACCCTTGAAAAATGCCATGCTGGAGAATCCATGGGGCTGAACAATATTCCCCAAGCACCACATTCTGGAGACGGCCCTCCAAGTAGGAGCGAAACCACTGCCGTGCAGTGCCCCCCACTCCCATCTTAGCTGCTTCAGAAGGATGCCACGGTTGATGGTATTGAAAGCTGCGGAGAGGTCCAGTAGTACCAACAGGGTTGCGCTTCCCCGTCTCACTCCCGGCATAGGTCATCATACAGAGGACCAAGGCTGTTTCCATGCCAAATCCAGGCCTGAGCCCTGATTGAAATGGATCTAGGTAATCAGTTTCATCCAAGATTGCCTGGAGTTGATTGGCACCACTTTCTCTAGAGCCTTGCCCAGGAAAAGAATATTTGCTACTGGCCTATAGTTGTTCAAATTTTCTGGGTCAGGGGAGGGTTTCTTGAGAAGTGGCCATTGCCTCTCACAAAGAGACATTGATGATGGCAAATCTGATGCCATTCCCTCTCACAAAGAGACATTGATGATCTTCCTGGGCCAGCCAGTTATCCCTCCCTCACTGGCTTTTATAAGCCAGGAGGGACAAGGATCCAGTTCAGAGGTGGTTTCATGAACCTGTCCAAGAACCTTGTCCACATCCTTGAGCTGTACCAACGGAAACCCATCCAATAAGACTGGACTGTGCTCTGGATAGCTCCACCGATTCAACTGCTGTAACTGGAGTCCAAGTCCTGATAAATGCAACAATTTTTTTTCCTGGATATGCTCAGCGAGTAGATTACAGTAGGCCAGAGATGGTTCCAGGATGTAATAAGCTCCAGACAACCTTGAAAAGCTCCGCTGGGTGGTAAAGAGCACATTGAATAGAGGCAGTGAGGTATTCTGTCTTTGCTGCCCTCACAGTCTCAAAATACACCCAATTTGTAGGCACATACCAGGCTGCGGTGGCTCAAGTGGTTAAGACGCTGAACTGCAGGCTGTGGAAGGTCAGTAGTTCAGCAGTTCGAGACCCAGGTGCCTCAAGATGGAGTGAGCTCCCATCTCTAGTTCCAGCTCCTGCCAACCTAGCAGTTCGAAAGCAAGAAATTGCAAGTAGATAAATAGGTACCACTTCGGTGGGAAGGTAACAGCGTTCCGTGCGCCTTGGCGTTTAGTCATGCCGGCCACATGACCATGGAAACTTCTTCGGACAGCGCTGGCTCTTCGGCTTTGAAACGGAGATGAGCATCGCAACCCTAGAGTCGAATTTGACTGGCTTTCGAGCAAGGGAACCTTTACCTTTACCTTACCAGGTTCTTATTGTGTTCACTTGGGAGACCTCCTCCAGCTGCACTCCAGCCGTCTCCTTAGTTGTTTCATCACTCTCAGCTCTGGGTTATACCATGGTCCTGTATTAGCTCTACAACAGAGAGGGCGCTTAGGAGTGATCATGTCAATCGCCCAGGCCATTTCTGTATTCCACAGAGCGGCCAGGGCTTTCGACAGGAGCGCCAGCCATGTCAGCCAGAAAACCCCCCAGAACCCCCTGGAAGCCATCTGGATCCATTAGCCTCTGGGGGCGGACCACCTTAATGGCTCCCCCACCCTTGTGGAGGGGAAAAACCATTGTAAGTCTAAATCTCAACAGGCGGTGATCTAACCATGATAAAGGGACTAAGTCAAAGTCCCTCACACTCAGAGCACCATCCTCACATCCAGCTGAAAAAAAGTCTGGAGTATGCCCCACCATATGCGTTGGGCTAATGACATGTTGGTACAGTCCTACATTTGTCATGGCAACCATGAAATCCTGAGCCACTCCGGATAAGGTGCCCTCAGCGTGGATGTTGAAGTCTCCCCGGGACCAACAGCTCAGGTAGGGAGACTAATGGGTTGCAGGGTGGGCAGTACACCAGACTCCCCAGTCTGTCCTGCTGGCCTAGCACAAGATGCAAACA